GTGGGTTCAAATCCCACCGCTGCCACCATGGGTGCGTTTATCGTGCCTTGCCACTCAGAATCAGCGTTTCTATACATATCGAACCCCACTATACGAACGTGATTTGCGGGATGTCGCGTTTATCGTCCCTTCACGGTTCAAAATAAAGGCCTTGTCTCTGCGCAGCTGCCGTGCCGTTTGACCCGGGAGGAAGACAGTTTCTCGGAGGTCAAATGGAGCGAGTACACACACATGCTTGTACAACAACATGACACAGCACATGGCGCGTGCTATTTTTTCTGAACCAGATAATAGCCAGGGAAGGTGTACAGGTGTATGTGGGGTTCAAAACAGCTTTGCGTTTATCATCCGTCTGTATGTCACATTCAAAATGCACTTTTGTCGGCGTTACAATTTATGCCCATATCTAAAGACGTTTAAAAAAGGCTTTGCATTTATCACCTTAAAAATTTGCATGAAAGACGTTTGAAAACGCTGATTATAGGCAAACAAATTGACAATAAACACACCCCATGATGAGTTTCAGGGTCTTGGTAATGAACTGAATAGAGAGTCGGCAGACTAGTTTGTGTTATGGTAGACATGTTATTTATTAAACTATGACGGATACCGGATATTTGGATATTGCATATATCGTAACAACTACAACTGAGCCTTCCAAAGTTAACTTCTTCATGTTTACATGTTTTTTCATTTCATCTATCTTTAGGTGATAATTTCTCAATCTATTTCCACTTAGAGTTGATTCTATAATCTATATCTGCATAATTTTGTCCCTATGCACTCTGTGTTAGCCTTAGACAAGGCCTTGCAAAGCTGACACGTTGATTGGATTAATATGTCCCTGGGATGATGGGCATTCATGCAAAGAAGAGAGATCGAGAGGGTGAGAAAAAAAGCTGTCAAATCCTTGACTTCTGAATGCATTAACTTTGAGTGTCGATCGCTAGATATTTTGTTTGCCTTTATGATGTGCCCCTGAAACTCAAAATTGGCATTGGAAGCTCTTACTTGAGTTTTCTGTTCGTCTGTTTCGTATGTTACCCCAGTCATACAGGCCAGTTTTTTTAAAAAACAAAACACATATAGTTTGTTTACAGGAGCTCTTCTTTGGATTTACTGTGGTAATATTGTACTTTTCTTGCAGCAAACATTAAGTTTTCATATACCGGTAGTAGGGACAAAGAAAAGGGTTAATTAACACCTGCATCGAAGTATAAGAGTTAAGGGGTACAGAACATATGATATTGTTTTTTTTAACGAGTGCTCTTCCTTAGTGCTTTATGCTTTTTGGAGCTTTCCAAAGCCAAATGATTTGAATACAGTTAGATGTAATTTTATTAATATTTTATAGTAAGGTTGATGTACAGAGCTACATATTTTTGTACTGGATATAAGGTAAATATTATATTTAAGCTAGTTTAAAATAATGTTCATCCATTTTTGTTAGGGCTCTTTTACAGAATGTTTAAAGATCTTTTTAGAGGCAAATCACACTCTGCTCTCCTCTATTTATTTTTACCAACATGTTGGCCCACTGTAGATAATTTAAGAATTTTAGTAGACACCAAATAAATTGCCTATGGTAATTGGTTGTTCTGTTTTAAGCAGTTGGGAATGGGTGAGTTAAGTAGTCAGCAAGTTTCCTTATTTTTGATGAGATATGATTTCATAGAGGGCAAGAGTTGTATAAGAAGCAATATATTTCCACAAAGTACTGCCTGTCTACCTTTTCCTTTGGAGCCCTCGCTTGTCCTTGTATCATTTTACCTGCTTGCTTGGAGCATGGTGTAGGGTCCATGCTCCATGCAAGCAAAGTAGGTTCTTCAATTTTCCATATATACACAACACAGCATTACATGTACCATTGCATAGGTAATTGTACACATAGTATTGATTTTTCATGTCTGCTTTTGTTCAGACCAGATGTCAAAAGTATTTTAATTGATCAGAGCCATTGTGTGGCAGCCTAAACTATAGAGCCTTAAATAAACACTGCACCTCGTGCATATATAAAGGGCTGCCAACTAGACAATGAAATAATTGTCATTTGACAAATAGAACAAAATTTTGTTTTCTCTGTATATCTAGTTAAAAAAAGAGTAAATCAAATGAGGAGGAAGTTGTTTCAATTTTGTTCTCCCGTCATTTTAAAATTGGTTGGATTGTCCTGCATCATTTTTGAAAAGGTGAATTGTATTTCTTTCTGGTCGTAAGGAGACAAAATGAATGCCTAATCCCAAAATCCCAAAGGAACATTAAGGGCTAATCCTAATCCATTTGTCATGTTCACAAAGTTTATGCATTTTATTTCATTCTCATTGACACAGCAGTGGCTATTTATTCAAAGTGGCTTTCTTACAAGTCCTAGAGATAAAGGGGGCATCTATATACAACGGCTACTTTTAAGTCAAACTATCCAGTTAAGACATTTTATGCCTTTCAACCTATTCCTACTGGCACATCAGTGACTTTTTTCATTCAATGTGGTTTCATAAGAATTTCGGCAACAAGGTGTTATGAGCCTCCACCCCACTTCTGCTTGTTTTCCTGCTGGCACGGAACTTATTGAGTTTGAGTTTCCACAGATTTCCCTAGCTTGATCGAATCACAGGAAGCTGTTGGCTTCAATTACATCCAGGTTATGTCCAGCAGGCCGGGTTGGTTTGTAATCAATACAGTCGTCATTGCGAAACCTTTCGACAATAGGAGCTGAAGTACACTTCCTTTTCATACTTTCTTTCAGTGTCTTTGACAGAAATCTGGTATTTAGTTGTAAAATATAGTTGTAAATATTGACTCATTTATTATGAGTCATTTCTACATTTGCTCTTTGATGCCTATACACATATTTCAGGCATTGCTTTTTAATGTCAAGAGTAAAATTATGGTTTGTAAAAGTGAGACATTTTAAAACTAATTAGGATAATTTCTGAATCACAAATTATCCCTGTTCTATATTCATGATAACACAAAGCAGGTGTGAATTAGTTTTATGACATGCAAAACACACACACACACCCATCCACATAACTGCACACCCACACACCCATCCACATAACTGCACACCTACACACCCACCCACACTCATACCCATCTGTACACACACACTCATACCCATCTGTACACCCACACTCACACGCTCATGCACCCCACATGCACCTTATTGATGAAGTAAAATACATATTATTTGCTTAGTTAAAGTGATATTGAAATACATTTGATTCATATGTTATGTTTGAGTCTTTAAGCTGCAGGCTTAATCCATAAAAGCAATTTATTGATACCATAAGTATACCAAGAACTAGTTTTGAATTGAGGTTTGGTTTGAGTCACTGAAGTTGTGTGTACAGAATTTAGAATCTGGAGTACAGAGTTTTGTCATAGAATGAGTATTTTTAGTCATTATATTTACTAAGGGAGTACCCTCGTCTCTAGGGCATCCCATAATCAATATAATCAGTATTGTCTGACCTGTAATAAACCCCATGACACAATATAACTATGGAATAAAATGAATAAAACTGGCATTATTAAATTGAGGACCGGGTAAATTAAAATAAATTTGAGCGTTTTTGGAGTTTGGACTATATTTGGAGTAAAAGAGAGTTATTTTAAATAGGCTTTAAAATATATGAATGTAGATCAACAAAATAAAAGAAGAATATCTCTTTTACAACACTATAATACCTGTAGGCCTGTTTGAACACGTTTCTCCACAAGGTCATTCAATATATTATTATCTAATTAAGTTCAAGTAAAGTTCAACATAATTGTCTAATGCAATACTCTATCTGTGTTGACATTTATCAAATTATGACAGACTCATGATGATACATTTGAGCTTTTATGCATGCCTTGAAGTTGATGTTAAATGTGTATGTTGCGTGCGAACGAATGGCCTTGAGTATTGATTCCGCGTTGCATGAAATTGGTCCATACCTTCTAATAGTCAACTTAGTTCCACCTGCGTGACTGGCGTGGCAGAAAAGTGTGCCGGCGATGGAGGTGAAAGTTGAGAACGAGCGAGGGAGTTGAGAATGAGGGAACGAGAATGCGAGGACGTGATCGTTCCAGGACAGATGCTTCGTCTGTTAAATTATGAATAATTTTTAGGTGGCACAATGGGTTTGGTATTGATCAGGGATATATAGTTCGAGCTAGGTCATCAGATAGTGTGCGGACGTAAACATGCCAATGTAGGGAGAGGAGCAGACAGAGTGAGAAAAAGAGGGAGAGAGAGAGAGAAAGAGATAGAGGGGGAGGGAGGGAGGGAGGGAGGGAGGGGTGGATGGATGGATAGATAGAGATAGAGATAGAGATAGAGATAGAGATAGAGATAGAGATAGAGAGGGATAGAGGGAGAGGGAGCATTATAAAAGAGAGATATCAGTAAATTAGAAAATGTGTAAATTATGGATAATTTTTATCAGAAATAAGGGGGAGGGGCAGGGCATTTAGGCATGAGCTGATCTAAGGAAGAAAAGCCAGAAAGTACATATTTCACAAACTGTACATGGTGCAGATATAATAAAAAAAGGATACTGTAGAGACAATGATTTGGGTTATTCGGTGAAGAATATTTGAAAATATAGGGAATATATACAATTAAATTTTTGGTGATGTTCTTAATTCCTGATATTGAATACAAATGATTAGATTTGCATTTTATTGTATGCAGGGTGGATGTAAAAGCTACATTGGCTGGTGATAAATAATGGTCACACTGCATGTACTGAAGAATAGGATTTTACTTGGTAACTTATGGCTCTTGATTTAAAGTGAAATTGTTTTGTTTGGTTGTATATTACACATTACAATTAATGTTTAGATATAATTGTACAGTATCTCTTTTCTCATTAATTTGGACCTTTTGCAGTCATCAGGGGTAAAAGCACTGCCAACACCTGTTTTCTTTTTTCTGCTATAAATAAATTTTTGTACATGTAAAGTTAAATAATACATTTGCAATAATTGTTTTATTCTCCCCTCTCCTGCAGGCCCTGGAGCAGGAGAGGCACGAGCTCCGCATGAAGCTGGAGACGGCCCACACCGAGAAGGAGAACATGTCCTATGACCTCCGCATGGAGGTGGAGTCTCTACGGAAGGAGGTCGCCCATCGGAGCGAGGCCCTCAAGGTTGCCAATAGCAACAAGCAGGGCATCATCGGAGAGCTGATGGAGCAGACCGATCAGAACATGAAACTAGCCAATCAGCTTCATGAGGTAGGTCATTTCAGGGTCAAAGGTTGTTTCTTATGACCTCCACATGATGAGTTTAAACAGCCTAAAAGGGTCGAAGCTAAGAGGTGCCTGTGCCTCAATTGTAGTCTGGACCTCCCAAATTTCAAAATTCTAACTAAGGGGGCTCGTGTGCACAAACAGACCTACAAATAATCTCAGTCAGGACCCACTTTTACTAAAGAAAAGTCAGTCTGGAGCCTGGCAAGTTACAAATGATGAGTTTTAAAGGTCATGTTTATACGAGCTCCAAATAAAAAGTTTAATCTTGTACATTTATCTGTAGACGCCATTCTCCTTGATATCATATTTTGATATGCAGGAGTAACAATGGGGCTTATATACTGGTATGCCGGTCTAATGTTGGATTTTTTTTGTACAAAGCGTTTTTGCATCTCTCTGTTTTGAAGTAAAAACTGTCACTTCTTTTCATCATTGTAGTATTCTGGAATTTGTTGTACAAAGCGTTTGTTCATCTCACTGTTCTGTCACTCCTCTCCATATTAGACCTTTTTGCATTCTCTATGATTTTTCATTTCTGCTTTCTGCTTTTCCCTTTCTGCTTGATACCTATTTCCTAATCTAATTTCTGCGTTAAACTATCAGATCTCAGTGAGATATTGTTCTTTCTTGCTCTCCCCCTCTCCCCCTTTCTCTCTCTCTCTCTTCTCCTTAACACATTTCTTATTCATCTTTGCTTTTCTGCAGTATATACTCGTTCCCTCTCATCTGCCGTTTGTCTCTTTCCCCCTCAATCTTCTCTCTCACTCTTGAGACTCTTCCATCTCTCTCTGTGAACAATGTGTTCTTCCTCCCAAAGTTGATGATTTTCCACCGCTCTCTGTATTCATCAGCTTTCCTTGAAATTTCCTGCCTGGGGCCCATTCTTGTTCAGGTGCATGTACTTAGATGATAATGACAAGATGCATTCTTGTTGAAGTGTATGTGATATCCTTCTCTATAATACTTCTTTCTCTCCTGTAATATCGTTTTGTAGAGTGCAATTATTTTGGTTCTTCGGATTTATCTTTTAAGTTAAGAATTTGTCACCTGGTATTCCGAGTAAATTTGATAGTATGATAGTATCCCTCATTTGCAAGCGATATTTTTGTGGATTGTGAATTTTAAAACATTTGAAACAAGCAAACTTAATGGAACCCCCGCATTTATACGCTCTTTTTTCTTAGTGAAATTTACAGTGTAAAACATCTATTAAAAAAAGCTAATTAGATATCATCCCACGTTTACACATCCTTAGAGAATTGTACAATTTAGAATATTAAAAAAAGCAAATGTAATGTAATCCCCCATTTATCATACTGCAGTCTTGTAAATGAGGTTTTTTAGAATATGTAATTTTATCTAGAATCAGATGGGCATATCTTGAAATGGTACACCAAATAACATCTTTCTTCATTCTCACAATTTAATTCTCCAGATGAGTGGGATTATATGTCAACAGACTAGGGTCAAACCAAGTGCATACCCCTTTCACATTTTATAAAATAAAGATGAGAGTGCTTGGACAAACACAATTTTGCTAGTAATAGTTTTGGCAATAAGTAACACAGGGTACTGTATAACACATTTTTACACATGCTCATTCTTACTCATTTGTAGATTTGTCTCCTTAAAATAATTCACAAAATAAAAACAAATCAAATGCAACACACTATACACAACTAAATGCAGTGTTTTGACCAAGTAAAGCATGGAAACGTTTCACAAGAGCAATGTTGCATCCACATTTTCATACACTTTGTTCAGATTTTGAATGGGAAAACCGGTCTCACGCAAGAAAAATTAGAAAGAGAATGTTCTGAATGTGAAGTGAATCCATGCATGCTACCGGAGCTGTCTACTTTGTTCTTATTGCAAGAGCATTAATTCTCTGAAGTGTGCAGTGGCGGTCTTATTTACCGAATCGTGAATCGTGTCGGTGGGATGGGGTTATTCTTGCTTGCTCTGTCATGCTTCATTAACCGTCATCTGTTTGACAAGCGAGAGAGTGAGAGAGGGAGGAAGGGAGAGAGGGAGAGAGAGAGAGCGATAGAGAGAAAGATCGGGGAGTCTGGGAGAGGAGGAACGTGAGAAACTATTCCAGGGAGGATACAGAGAGTACGATTTATTAACCTTGACTTTACGACTGAGGCGTAGGAGCTGTTTCACGGTACGGCGGTCACCTTCCCGCAGCCTCTCTTTATTTTTCGGAACTCAGGAGGCCAGTTTGTATCCCATTTTGTACTTTATCAGGTGATGCGAGTGTTATTTATTTGCTTCGATTTCAGGATGATTTGAATGAGGAGGCTGATGATTCACATATGATTATTTCAGAGTACATACATGTAGGCGCATTGAGGAATAAAGTGCAAGTAGTTGACATATATGAAATCAAAATGCAAGCAGTAGATAAGAGGAAGGGGGAGAGAGTGACCGTGAGTCCATGATTGCAGGACAAAGGGGAGGAAATAAAGGAATAAGCAGGGCACACAAACTCAGGAAGGGGATTGTTTAGAGAGGGATGGAGGGGTAAAAAGGGAGGGAGAGAGAGAGGGCGAGAGAGGGAGGGGATAGAGAAATATAGAAAGAAGAACTTCAGGGGAGGGGAGGAGGAGAGGGGAGACAAGGTGAGAGAGAGAGTAAAGGAGATAGGTGAAGAGAAAGGGGGAGAAGGTGAGAAAAAAAAGCAGGGTTTAAGAGCGAGCATGAAAGGAAAGAGAGAGAGAGAGAGAGAGAGAGAGACATACAGAGAAAGGGATGGAGAGAGAGAGATAGAGATAGAGAGGGAGGGGATAGAGAAATAAATAAAGAAGAATACGGAAGGGGTGGGGAAGAGAGGGGAAGAGAAGGTGAGAGATAGAAAAAGGAGATAATGTAGGTGGAGAGAATGGGGAGAAGGTGTCAAAGGAATAGCAGGATAAAAGAGCGAGCTTGCAAGGAGAGAGAGAGAGAGAGAGAGAGAGAGAGGGAGAGAAAAAGAGATGAGAATTGGATGAAAGAGAAAGAGCTCTCAAAGGAGAAGAAAGAGAAGGAATTGAGCAGAGGAGGTTTGAGGGAGGTCAATAATATGCAACAGGTTGTGTGTGTGTACATGTATGCACATCATCTTCTTAAGATATGAAAACACCCAGTGTACAATTCTAATGCACATAACACCAGGTGTAATAGGCATTTATATAGGTTTATGCGTAGGCTACTGTGCAGTACTCCATGTACACATGTATGCACTTTACAAGTATTGATTTGATTACTACAAGGACATATTTATTAGGCTTTATTTGATTTCATTATACTTTATTGTTTCAAGGTTTTCTTCTATATTGGAGATGAATACAGACAAAAAAAACATAAATTTGGTGAATTTCATCTCCAGTGAACTTTACCCCACATATAGATATGATGCAATATAAAAATATAAAAAATGAAATAAAATAAGGAAAAAGCAAACAAAGGTGTTAACATTTATAGATCAGCAGTCTGCTTTTAAGGAATAAGAAGATAATATCAAAGTATTCACTATTTAGTTGTTTATTCTTTCATAAATTGTGCACACAGCTCAGGCGGACAATCAGTAAGTTCATCAATAAGTCAGCAGACAATTCTAAAACTTAAACCAGTCAGCCATTTAACACCCACTTTATTAACATATGCAACACTTGTTTTACTTACATATACTTCACATCCGATTCACTTATTTGTATTGCCCCCAAACCGTGTAATATTCTATCAGAGCATCATTTTTTTCTACAAACATTAGATGCCAAAATTGGATGCCATATCAAACATTTTGTTCTGCTCCGATGATATAGTTTGTAATAGGTAGTTTTGTCTAGGTATACAATACCACCTTACATTCTGTCTTTCATTTGTATTTCCAAATTTCCATGTACATTCCTATAGCCATGTTAATTTTGTAAGTGTTCTTCATTTAACTGGTGTATGTTAATTATGTAACTCAGAAACAATATATAGTTAAGCACCGTATCGATGTAAATAATTATTATTATTATCGTTATTTTTTTTAACTATTAAGATTTTAAAAAAAATATTCTTCTTAAATGCCTGTCTGTACTAGTTTGGTCAGGAGGGATTAGACCACCCAGGGTGGTCACTGGCAGATGGCCATCTCATGAACTCAGCTCTCAATTAACATATTAAGAAGAGGACCAATAGGGGACCAATGGTCACAGATTAGGCATTGTTACAGAGGGAGCAAATAGCTACAAGTAGTATAGTGGGGCTTTAAAATCATTATTATTATTATTTTTTAATAACAATTCTTTTAAAAATCATTATTGTTATTATTATTTGTGAGTTCATGCATACAATAGGTCTATAGATACTTAACCCTTTAACTCCTGATTGCTCTCTCCCGGTTTCCGTCTTTAATGGGTGAAAAGAGATTCAAAATCTTTGGGAATATGTTATAATAAGCTAGACAAACATGAGAAATTGAAGGAGGAAAAAAACAGACATAAAAAAAACAATGTTTATGATGAACTTCTCGAAGCTGTCGGCCACAAATTACGCAAAGTCATATGAAACCTGGTATGCTTGTGGACAATTCAATTTACATTTACAGTGTACATCCTTGAAACATAATACTGTTCCCCCGTGGCTAAATGGGATGTCCCGGTTGTGCCTTGCATGCAATTAGAGATTGGATTACACCAATCTCACCTGAGGCATATTTCAGGGGTCCATGTCGTGTTTGTACATGAGGGTGAAAAATATTAGATTATTTTTGTTTTGCTCTGGGTTGTTTGTGCTGTAGGCCTATGCAATAAGGATGTTATTCACTCATTTTTACATGGTATAAAATGAAAGATTTACAAAAATAGATGCAACAAAGTGAAATAGAATCTGGAATTAAGTACAGTAGTTGCTTGAGAAAAATAGAAGTTCAGATTTATTTTAATCCACTTTATTTACCGAGATGATATGTACTGTACAGTGTATATGTACATGAATATGTTAAAGATAAA